TCCCGAGCTCATCCCGAAGTGCCTTGAGCTCGAGAGAGTCTGGGCTTGAAAGAACCTTAGCTCGAGACGTTTCCTTGGAAGAATCTTAGCTCGAGGTGTTCCCTTATTGTTGTGGAGCTCAGGGGCTCCTTACTGAGGAGGAGCTCGGGGGCTCCTTCACTTGGGTGGAGATCGGGACTCCTCACCTGGAGGGACCTCGGTACGCTCACCCCCCCCCCCCTTAAGGGAGAGCTCGAGGTAACCGGAGTGTCACCTTGTACCGAGCTGCCGCGTTGGACCTTGGCAGACTGGTTGCGCTGAGTTGTCACTTATGCTGAGTCACGTCCACGTGTTCCCCTATGATGAGGTCGGGTCAAATCACCCTCCATCAATTACAATGGCATTATTTAAAACATAAATTTAAAAAGTTAAATTTATGATATAAACTATTTTAGCCTAAGAAATATTGGAATTTCCCACTTTCCCATATTAAAAAATATTAATATATATCTATGGTCGGGTTGTTCGATTTTTGTCAATTTACAAGTGGCTAAAGAGAAATTAATCCAACCCAGTCGGGTCAGGAAATTGTTGAACCAAAGGCGATTGGAAATACTAGAAATCGGGTTGGTCAGTTTCATTAGTTTGATTCGGAATGGCAACGGGGTAAGGCGGGGACGAGGAGCCTCTCTCCATCCATGTCCCCGTCCCCATCCTCGCTAATGGGGACAAAATTATCCCCATTCCCGTCTCCACGAGATCCCCGCTTGTGATTCTTTATAATGTCAATCATTATGTTTTTGTTTTACATTTTATTTTAGAAATAAAAATAAAATAATTAAAATTTACAATCCTGTTAGACAATATTCAACCATATTTTTAAAAATATTGACATATAGATGTATGTGTGTGTATATATATATATATTAGTCGGGATCCCATGAGGTGGGGATCGGGGTCCATGTGGGGTAGGGAGTGCTCTCCCCATCCCTGCACCATCCCCACCAACGAGGATGAAAATTTTCCCATCTTCATTCCTGTTGAGGGAAAATCATCCCTATCCTTGCCTCATTCGGGGCGGATCCCCACGGGGACAAGAGAAATGGGAAAAAAATAAACAACCCTATCTAAAATTAATTATTGTTATTTTTGTATTATAAACAAAGTATTAAAAGTAGTATATAAAATATAGATGATTATTAATTATTATATAAAACGATTGTATACTCTTACATGTTTCATCTTTTACTTAACAAATCCCGTGCATCGCACAGGTCCCCGCTAGTATTTAATATATACAATTGGGGTCGGGGTGGGGTGTGGACTTCACTCTTTATACGTTCCCGCCCCGATCTCTGCCTGATTGGGGAGGCCGGATACTCGACAGAGATAGGGAAAATTGCCATCCCTACCCTCGGATTATGTAGCACCATATAGCAATAAATTTTAAGCCCAATAAATTTTAACATTTATTGGGCTTAAAATAAGGCCATGTTTGGTTCGCTGCCAGTGGCCTCATTCTTTTAATTCTTGCCGATTCTGAAAAAGAATGGGCAAGAATGAATGGGATGTAGGTGTTTGAATATTCATTTCTTGCCGAAAGACTCATTCTTCCCAGAATGAAATTTGGGTATCAGAAAAAAATTTTTTGTGCCCCATCTTTTCTTTTTTTTTTCGTTCAAGCTCGAGTCCTTGAAATCAGTGAACCCTCGTCCCTCTCTCTCTGTGCAAGGTAAACCTCCATCCCTCTCTCTCTGGTAAACCCCCGTCCCTCTCTTTAAACCCTCGTCCCTCTCTCTCTCTACTGAGGTATCTCGATCTGTTGAAGTCTGTGCAAGGTAAAACTAATCGACTCCCTCTCTCTCTGTACAAGGTAACGGTGAGATCGATCTCGACCTGTTGAAGTCCTAAAGCTAAGAACGATCCAAAGAGTGCAAAACCAAGTCATAAAACTAAGTGTTAGTGAAAATATCAACCATCCTCAACTATTGTGATGGATAGGCATTCACCTCAAAAAGAGCATTAATCACCATCAAACCTAGCTTCCAACGTTACTGAAGAAAATAACACCTCGCTAACTCCCATGCAAACTTCAGCAAAGAATCTTGGTAGCCCTCCCAAGTCCCAAAGCAAAACACTTCTGTTCCATACGTGTTTAAAACGTGGTGTTCATGTTTCAAATTGGAATTAATTAATGCTTTAAGTCAATACATCTATTCAAAAACAAAAGGGAGAATTATTGAAGGGTTAATAGCATATATGGACAACTTTTGGGGTTTAATATCAATAAAAGTAATATATTTAAAAAAATTTCAAAAATAGGTCAAATTTTTAAAAATAATATTAATAAAGAACAAAAACAATGTTCATCTTCTTCTTCTTGCTATTTGTTCATCAGAGCCGCTGTCCGCCACCACCCACCACCGCCGTTGGACATGGGCGGAGGTGGCAGCGTTGGACAGAGAAATCACCAACGCCACCACCCGCCACCGCCGCCTCATTGCCGGAGATAGGTGGAGGTGGGCGGAGGTGGCAGCGTTGGACAGAGAAATCACCAGTGCCACCACCGCCACCTCTACCTCCGGCCACCTCCGGCAACGTTGCCGGAGGCGGAGGCAGAGGTGGGTGGAGGCATGGTGGTAGGTAGTGGCGGGCAGCGGCTATGGTGAATAAATGGAAAAAAGAAGAAGATAAACAGTATTTTTGTCCTTTATTGATATTATTTTTAAAAAACTAACCTGGTTTTCAAATATTTTTTAATATATTGTTTTTATTGATATTAAACCCTAAAAATTGCCCTTAACTGTTGATGAAATTATGGCTTCACATTTAAGTTGTAGATAGGAATCATTAGGCAAGTGGATTTAATTGGATGAAATCCGTAGGACTAGGAGGGGATCCAACCGTAGAAACACAATTGAAAGTTGTGTACGAATACTTTGTGGCAGACATAGAGGCACCACTAGTGTAACGATGTGGGAAATCTCACCTTTACCTTTTATTTATGATGAAGAGCTAGAGCCTGGAGATGATAATCAGATGGCCCAGTCCTTTGCTAATCGAGAATCGATATTATTTCCAGCGCACCCATGTCCACTACGATGGCTTCCCATTCGTGGATTCAAGCTTTCTTGTCTTTGTTCCTCTTTCTCAGCCATTAATAAATCCTCCTTACTTGTCAAAGACAAAAGAAGAAAGAACCTAACCAAACTTTGATACCACAATAACTCACCCACTGGGTTAGTTGGGTCCACATTCACAGTTTATCGCAATATGACAAATCATGGTCCACGGAGATTTTCTAAGATCTAAATTCCCTTTGTGGGGCACAGATGTAAATATTTGTTGGAGGTGGGCAGTTTTGGGAGGCTCTCCCAACTACACACGATTTCTCTTTTTAATTAAAAAAGTATTGACTGTAAATGTTATTTTATCCACATTCATTATGCGATAGTCATTCACAGCAAGTTCCTAAAGCAGCCCAATCTAAACAGCCAAAGTTTTTCCTCCTTTGTTGTTATAGAGTTGTTTCTGCACATCCCATGTTCGACAAATATAGGGATACAATTTGGGCTGGGTTATCTAAGGTGGCATTTTATAAATCTGAAATCTGAAGTTTGAAAAGTTAAAAAGATATTAAAAGTGTCTGAAAATATGAAAAGAGCCATAAATGTTTTTCTACTTTTTAGAGGCTTTGAATAGATAATATTGTTTGTATTGGATCAAGTCATTAACATCTGAAATTCCCTGATCTTACTATTTTACCCTTAAAATAGACTATTTGGAAATTTTGAGCTCAATTTGTACTATTTCATATAAAATAAATAAATAATTTATCAAATTCAAAATAATATTTAATAATTAATAAAATCAATAATCAATAATTAATAAAAATAATTGATAATTAAAAATTACAAAAAATTGAACAAAATAATTTACAACTAATAAAAATATTAAAATAAATAACACTAATCATTAATAATTAACAATTTATAACTAATACATAATATTAAAATAATTAACAGCAAATAAAGATTAAAATAATTAATAAAAACAAATAATTAATTACTAAATACTCCTTAAGATTTTCGATCAATAACTTAAATGTATTATTAATTTGTCTGTTTTTTGTTTTGTTTCACCAAAAGACATATTTGTTCTATCCCATATAACCACAAGCATAAAACAAAAGACGACATAAAAATACAGTAAAACAGGTGTTTGATAGAACAACTGTAAACAAATCAAAATAAACATAAACAAATCAAATAAAAAATCTGAACCCTATGAACAATCGTTTGTAGAAGAAGAAGATGAAAAAGATACCTTCGACGAGATGAACGGCAATCTTCAAATGACACGAGCCCACCATTAATGGCAATTAGAAAGATTTTCTTAAACAGATCTCAAATCAATTGGAGAGATTTTCTCTAATTAATTTTAGTGGGGCCCAATTGATTAATAATCATTAGCAATTTGGTTAAAAGGAAAATTTTGTTGGCTGATTCAAGGAGGATTAGCTTAATTCAATTAATGGATTTCCTTCCTTATACGGGCCCTAATTTCTTGACAGGTGGCAAACCTCTTCCAGTCAACTTTATTTATACAAAGATCACCAATTTGATAATTAGAGATCTCAAACTAACAAGCCTACAAAATAATACAATTCTTAATTGAGAGAATCCCATTTAAAAAGGAATTCACACTATAGGATCTTTCCAAATAAACCAAGTGGCACTTGGCTTTAAATAGGAGGGGGACAAATCCAACCCCTTTCCTTACAAGCTTTTAAATAAGATTACCAATCGATCCTTAAATATTAAATCATCAAGATTGTGGGTCCCCCCAAATTAAATGCATGGTTCAGATCTGAATGAAGAATTGGATGGGCTTTTCACTATAAAACGGGATGGGGGTTTTCTAATTCGGGGGGTCTTTCTTTCATTCGGCTCTCCCTTTAACCACCGAGTTCGTCTCCGACCACTGTTGTTCCTTTAGAAGAAGGAGAAGAAACAGGCTGCACCAAGATCAAGGAAGGAAGAAGAAAGGCTCCAATTCTTTAACTGTTGAAATATCGAAATTGCTACCACATCAACCTGTGAAGTTCCGATCTTCAAATTCCCATGATTCAAAAGGTTTCCGTCAATTCTACAAGCAAGGACATTGCTTTCAATTGTTCACATTATTGATTGAGCGTGAATAAATTTTTGTTTGTATAAATTTGGGCTTTACTTTTTTTCTCCTAATTGCAAATTCTAGTCGTGGTTTTGGATTTCATCCAAAACAAGAGAATCAGAGAATCTTCTTTGCCAAAAAAATAAATCTACAAAAAAATTAAATTAAATTCCTTTGAATTTATCAGCATTTTTTTGTATTCCAAATTTAAGACGAAATTTATGTCCACAAATACATGTAATATGTCTCATCAATTTGTATGATTGGAATAAAACAGTAATGGTACCAAACACAGGTGGAAGATACGAGTGGTCTATGTCTATATATTGAGAGAGAAAGCGCGCTGGAAAATATCTGAGTGACGAACTTCTTTCCAAGGCATCATGGACGTTGCGCAAATACTCCACATGAGGAGAGGAGATGGAGAAGATAGTTATGCTAAGAACTCAAATGTCCAGGTTGGTTTCCACCATCCTTAATTAGTTTATTTTACCAGGAGAAAATTAAAAGAAATTGATATATATATATATATATATTCAATTTATTAATTAGCTGCTCATATCTTGCAAAGTTTATGTAGTATATATATGCGTTCACGTGTCTAATAAAATATATTGTTTGGAGTATTGACAGAAAGTGATTATATGTAGAGAGAAGGCAGGCATAGAGGAAGCTTTAGAGGCGTTTGATTTCAATAAAATGTGTGAGGCGAGTGAGAGCTTTAAAATAGCGGACATGGGATGCTCTTCAGGACCCAACGCATTGTGTGCAGCAAAGGCGATTGTGGATGGAATTTATAGGAGATGCCAGGGATTGGGTTGTCCCTCGCCTGAATTACTTATTTACTTGAATGACCTTCCGGGAAACGACTTTAACATGCTATTTCAGTCGCTGTCCTCCTTTAAAAACCTCAACGGGGTCGGCGGGGAATGTTTTATTGCAGGGATGCCGGGATCTTTTTATGGGAGGCTATTCCCCACAAGGACCCTACACTTCGTGCATTCTTCCTCCAGTCTTCATTGGCTCTCTCAGGTATTATTAATTAAGCTGCATATATATAATACCTAGCTACTGTGTGAGTTGATGAGTTCACTTCACATGTAAATATCTGCTGCTATTCCCCAACCCCAAGGTCGGCCGGCCGGCCGGCCCCAATCCAAGAACACACTCTGTGAATTTTCTGAAATACCTACTCAGTGTATATATGCTCACCCTGTGTGCCTACCAGTTTGGGGAGTTGGGGCTCACCGCTCACCCAGAAAGCCTATCTAAAAAAGTCTTTCTTTTTCTTGGTAAAGACCACTGTCCAAAAGCTCCTTCCTTTCCATGCCTTTTTTTTTTAATCATTTCTAGCCTAAGCACCTTTTTTTTTGGGTCTGTGATGTGCACTCTAATCTGATTGTTGGAAAAGTTGATTTTTTTGTTTTAACTAAGAGAAAAAGGAAATAAGGCTATGTTTGATTTGAATGAAAAAGGAAAACCTATACAAAGTTTGTAAAAGTTTCTCTATCTTTCCCTTTCTTTTCTTGCATTTTCCTTCAAACCGAACATAGCGTAAAAGACTACAACATTTTGGAAAAGTGGAACCATTAGTAAGATGGAACATTGTAGAATTTTTGGAATAGAAAAAAAAATGTAGGGCGTTTCAATGAATGGTTGTGAATCGCACTCTCTTCTTCTTCTAGTAGTACTTGTGTTGCTGCTGCAAGTAGTAAGCTTTATAGGTAACTTTTGTTTTTCTTTCTTGTTCTGAAAATTCTTTTTGTTTTCTCCATATATAATATATAAAAGTTGAGATTTATCTACTGTGATGTCTTGGTTTTGGGGGAACTATAGAAGGGATTTTGTTCTAGAGGTATTTAATTAAGAGGTTACCATTCTTAGACGAATATATACAATGGCTTTCTAATCACATGCATCTTTCTATTAGACAGATGTGGATTAAGTAAAGTAATTGCAAACTATAGGGACTGCCCTTAATAGATACCCAAAACTATAGGAATGTATTAATAATAGATACCCAGAATAGTAGTTGCAACCAGTCAGGTGGTATTTATCAAAATTTACAATGGATGGGGGTTGATCGGTAAAATCACTACAGCTGGTATTATGTCCTTCCCCGTCTAGTTTTTTGCTTAAGTATGTAAATCACCTTAATAATAACCATAATTTTCTTTTCAGTGTACATTATAAATTAACAAGGAAAGTTTCATAATCACCCCATCACCCTCATGGGTAGCTAGTCTTCTTCCTATTAATTTTTGCCTTTGTCGCATTACATAAAAAGATGAAAACTTGAATTGACATGCATGAGACGTTTAGTTTGTCTTCATATATTATTATATTGTATATAACTGAATAGTAAATACACCGAAGGGTGACCGACAAAAGGGCCAAGGGTGGGTTAACACTAAAAATTAAAAATATAGCAGGTGCCTCCAGATCTTGAGAAGAAAGCCATAAGAGCGTTAAATAAGGGGAATATCTACATATCAAAGACCAGTCCACAGTCCGTGCTAAAAGCGTACGCCGTTCAATTCCACAAGGATTTTACATCATTCCTCAACTCACGCTCCCAAGAAATAGTTCCAGCAGGGCGTATGGTGATATCATTGTTTGGAAGGACAGGTGACGATCCCACCTCCCCCGAATGTTGCCAACAATGGGACCTCTTGGCCCAAGTCTTCAGGGACATGATTGTAAATGTATTATTCATTTCTGTTTTTCCTTTTTATCTTATCTTACATACATACCTCCCCACTTGATTATGGTGAGTTGCATGTGATTCCTAGTACTAATTAAGAAAATTAAACTTGGTTAATTAACAGGGTCTCCTCCAGGAGGGGAAGTTGGATTCATTCAACATCCCCTTCTATTCACCCAGTCCACAAGAACTCACATCGGCTGTACACAATGAGGGGTCTTTCACTCTGAATCGCCTTGAGATACTTGAAATCGATTGGGATAGAGTTACGAGCAGTGAAACAAGTAATGGTTCTACCAAAACAATATTGGACAACCAAAGTATTAGCCAGAGCACAGTGAAATTCGTCAGAGCTGTAATGGAGTCGCTGCTCGAGAGTCATTTTGGGAGGGAAGTAATGGACCCTCTTTTCCGGAGGCACGAACAAATCGTATGTGATCACTTGTCTCGGAACAGAAACAACAAGTACATTTGTATCATCCTTTCCTTGACAAAAACCTAAGCACCTTCACTTCAACTCATTTGGCACTTCTATATATTAATTTGTTCTAATTACCTAGTTTGTGTAAACAAATAAGCATTATAGATCAAAATCTTAATTTTGTAAACTTATTATTATTATGGTTGATTGAATGCATGGGCATGGCGGTGTTCATGTTGGTTTGGTCATCTTAGCCTTATTTTAATTATTTGATGCTCATGGATTTTCATACCTTGCTTCATATTGACGGAGATTGGAGATTGTAGATGACAGTGCGCGATCTGGTAACTCCTATCTGGTGGCGGCTGCGCTCCTAGCTGGTGACAAATGAGATACCTGCGAGGAAGAAGAGGGATCCCCGGGGAGCTCTCCCGGTGGGAATACTCTGATGGTCAAGTTAGTAACTTATACTGAGAGCTGTGAGAGAGAGGGAGAGAGGTGCAGAGAAATCAAGAGCTAAGAGTGATGATCACGCGATCCCCTCGCCCCTGGGGGTTGGGGTCCTTATATAGTGGTCTTCTGACATATCAGGTGTAACCGCCTCCAAATCTTTGCTGCGGTGATCTGCTGTCAGATAACAGATTGGCGTGGCTGGCCATTATCTGTCAGAGCTGTGCTGTCGGGCAAAGGTAATCGCTGTAGAGTATGGTCCTGCCAGACGCCGCCAGGCGAGAGACGTGGGTGCAGCCTGGCAGGTACGGTCGTCAGGTAGTGAATCTCCCATGATATGCTGAGCTGCTTTGCCGCGAGCTACCTTATACCGAGCTACTGGTGATGTGTTGAGGTGCTTCCCCGAGGCAGGTCTCTGAGCCTAAGTTTAGGCGGGAGCGAATTGATCCTAGTTAGGGGACTGATGAGCCTAACCCGAGGTGTCTTCAGCTCGGGGTGCTCCCTTCTTGGGAGTCTTAGCTCGGGGTGTCGGAGTATCATCTTGCCGTGAGCTTCCACTTCGGGCGAGCTGTCAGGCTGAGTTGTACCGAGCTCATTACGCTGAGTTGTCACTTATATCGAGTCATGTCCACGTGTCCCCCTATTATGAGGTTGGGCCAAATCACCCTCCAATTGCCCCCCACTCCCCAGGCCAGGGGTCCTGACCTAGTGTGGGGAGTTCACAACGTGACGGGTGGATTTGGCTCAAAGTCTAGGTCGCCTAGTCAGATAGTTCATTGTTCGGACCAGTTCGCTGTTTGGCTCAATCAAGGATAACCCGGGTTGCATACAGTTCACGCGGGGATGTCACACGATCTATAGACTCCGCGAACGCCAAAAAACGCGCTAAACTGATTTCACCTCGGGGGTCGCACAGCCAGTTTTCTTGAGAGCCGTTGGATCATCCTGATCTTGACCGTTGATTCTCGGATATAGTGGCTATAAATAGGGGGGACCCGAGTAATTTTCTCCGCCATAAGTTCACTCTGAGGTCGCGCCTAAATTCCTCAGCTTGGGTTCTCTAGCCCGTTAGCTTCCTAGTTCGGTCGCTTTCCTTTGGTGAGTTTCCCTAGCTTCTTTTTCAATTCGTTTCAGTTTATAGTTATGTCAGGCCATAGTTTTGATAGTCTTCTAGATGAGCCTGAGGTGGGTACCTCGGCTCAAGTAGGTGTCTCTGAGGCACAATCCACCTACGAGGTGCGAGAGGCCTCAGATAACCCGATGTCTACCTCTCCTCGAGTTCGGGTACTGGATAAGTTCGGTCCCTCAACTATGATCGTAGAGAGACTTAGGGCCCTGATCAGTCAGTATAATCTTCCGAGGGAGTATTCCTATAATCGTCCCGCGAGTAACTTCCCTTGGGAACACGGTCACGATGAGATCGTGATTTTCGGAGAACAGCTCGCGGCCGGGCTCCGTCTTCCTCTGCACCCCCTGATCATAGATGTCTTAAAGTTTTTCAACGTCACCATAGATCAACTTCACCCGAACTCCATTCGGAATGTGGTCGGGACAATCTCCCTCTGCTTCGACTACGCCCTGCCCCTTGATCTCGAGATTTTCTCCTCTATCTTGTCCATAAAGAAGAATGCCTCTAGCATTCTCCCTGAGCATAGGTGGGCCTACTACCTGTCCCCAGGCCCATTAAAATCCCGGCCTAGAAACGGGATTATTTCGTAGTCTGCAATCGTGGCCCTTTCCTACTCATTGGAGGGCGGTTGTTTAGGACTCCGGTATTAGGCTGGACCTGAAAACAAGAGAGATACTCCAATCTTGGGCCGAGCTCGGGTTCGACTACAAGGACTATATCACCGAGGAAAAGCTCATAGAGGCCGGCTTGAGCCCTGGTAGGTCGCTTTGGTCTAGAGTTAGTATCTTTTAATAGTTGCCATCTCTTTTTGATAGTGTCACTAACGTTGAGCTTTGTTGCAGGCTTTATGAAACGGCTCAGCACGGATAGGATCTTCGGGAAGATGAAGGGGAAGAAGAAGTGGACTGTCAAAAGAGCTCGCGTTGACAACTGCGGTGATTGACTTAGAGGAACTGGAGAAGGCCCTACCTCGAGAGCCCGAGACAACTGCGGAGCCTGCTCCTGAGACTGCTGTTACTACTTCAGGGAGCGGGGGATCAGCCCGGAGTATTCTGAACCCGCAATACAGCCTCTGCAAGACCAAAGGGGCTGCATGCTCCGAGGAAGTCTCCAATTGGGCCGAACTATCGCCTACTCAGCTCGGAGCTCGAGCAGCTACCCACTGCATGGTGGTAAGTCTTGTTTAAACTTCAATTTTTGCATTTGTAGCCTTACTGGTGCTAACTAGCACTCTTGGCAGGTGAACAACGCCGTGCACGCCCTGACCTACCAGTCTGAGCAGCACTTAAAGCGGGCTCTAGCTGTTGAGAGCTCATCCCATGAGGCTCATACCGAGCTGAGATCAGTTCGCAGCCAGATCCACCGGCTAGAGAGCGATGTGCTAGCTCAGAAGGAGTTAGTCAAGTCACTGATGTCGAAGAAGGAGGACCTACTGTGTAAGGTGGAAGGCCTTGAAACGGACAAAGGGGTTCTGAAGCGCTAGGTAGAGAACCTCGAGGCCGACGTTAAGGAGCGGACTGAGATTCTTCTTAACACAATGGAGGAGGCCAAGGTCAAGGCCGTCGAGTACTACAAGAGCTCGAAAGATTTCGATGAGGCGTTAGTGGAGGCCTACCGCAAGGGCTTCAAACTTAGCAGGTGGTTAATCAAGCATGAGTTCCCGCAGCTTGACGTAAGCGTCATCACCACCTCGCGAATCACATGAGAGATAGCCCTCCAAGCCGCCAAAGACCCGGACTCCGAGGAGGAGGGCGATGACGATATTGAAGTTAACGTCACCGACCAGGCTGGTACCTCCGCGGAGGCTTCGGGCAAGAATGACGAGTCCAAGTAGTTTGAGTAGCCTTTGTATTTGGAGCCTGCGAGCTCAACGTTTTTTATTTCTTCCATCCTTGTAACGAATTGTTGAATTAATGAAAATGCATTTTTTTGCCAAGTGTCGTGCAACTACTTTGCTTCTGTTCGCAAATTAAAGATGGAATTTTCTCCAAACTGTTAAGCCATCGACCAAAGTGGGGGTTCCCTTAGCGGTTACCCCGAACTATCACTTAAGGCAATTACCAAAGCGATTGGCATTGTAGGGTGCATGCCCGACCTGTCTACACATTGGTTACCTCGCCTATGTCGAACTTCCTGGTATGCCCGAGAAATCATAGGTGCTCATACCCGAGCTGCCTATTCCTTAGGCATTTTTAGAGTACTTTGCCTATGTCGAACTAGCGACTAGGTCTTTTGTTAGCTCGGCATTTTAGCCCTTAGGCTAGGAGATCGACTTGTAGTCCACTCTCTTTTGGAGTTCACCCATGCTGAAGAGGTGATTGGGTGCCGAGGTCTTTTGTTAGCTCGGCGTTTTAAGCCCTTAGGCTGGGAGAGCGACTTGTAGTCCACTCTCTTTTGGAGCTCGCCCATGCCAAGGAGGCGACTAGGTCTTATATGGTGCCGAGGTTCTTTTATTAGTTCGGCACTTTGGCCCTTAGGCTCGAGGAACGACTCGTGGTCCACTTCTGGATTTCACCCATGCCGAAGAGGCGACTGGGTGCTGAGGTCTTTTGTTAGCTCGGCGTTTTTAGCCCTTAGGCTGGGAGAGCGACTTGTAGTCCACTCTCTTCTGGAGCTTGCCCATGCCAAGGAGGCGACTGGGTCTTATATGGTGCCAAGGTTCTTTTATTAGCTTGGCACTTTGGCCCTTAGGCTCGAGGAGCGACTCGTGGTCCACTCACTTCTGGAGTTCGCCCATGCCGAAGAGGTGACTGGGTGTCGAGGTCTTTGTTAGCTCAGCATTTTTAGCCCTTAGGCTGGGAGAGCGACTTGTAGTCCACTCTCTTGGTCACTATAGGTAATATTGCCTTATGTTGACAATATTCCATGCCCGAGGTACTTGCTTCCCTTCTAGGGTTTTGAGCTCATACGTTCCATCCCCAAGCACCCGCTTTACTCAGTAGGGTCCTTCCCAATTTGGCCCGAGCTTACCAACACCGGGCTCAGGTACCATGACTTTACGAAGAAACTGGTCTCTGACGCGGAGGTTCCGCTTCTTGACCCTGGCATTATAGTACCGAGCTACTCTCTGCTGGTAGGCCGTGGGCCTAATGTATGCGAGGTCCCGTACCTCATCAAGTAGGTCGAGATTGGTGCATAGCTCATCCTTGTTTGCTTCATTGTCATATGCTTCCAGGCGTAGGGTAGGGACCTCGATCTCGGTCGGGATGACCGCCTCTGTCCCGTAAGTGAGGTTGAAGGGGGTTTTGCCCGTTGCGGTCTTCACCGTGGTTCGATAGGCTCATAGTACGCTGGGTAGCTCGTCTGCCCACAGTCCCTTAGCTCGGGCTAGATGTGCCTTCAGTCCGCGGAGAATGGCTCTGTTTGTGACCTCCGCTTGACCGTTCGCTTGAGGGTGCACCACCGAGGTGAAATTTTGTTGTATCCCCATGTCTTTACACTAGTTCTGGAATTTGATGTCCTCGAACTGTTTGCCGTTGTTAGAGATGAGCACTCGAGGTAGTCTGAAACGACAAACTATATTCTTCCAGAAGAAGTTTTGCACACTTCGCGCTGTGATTGTTGCGAGAGGTTCGGCTTCCAACCACTTGGTGAAATAATCAACTACTACCACTAAGAACCTCCTCTGTCCTGTCGCTGGTGGAAACAGTCCGAGTATATCAATCCCCCAGTGTGCAAAGGGCCAC